TAATTATTTAAGTTTATTATTAGCCATGTTATATTAGGCTTAATAATTATTATTTTAATAAGGACCTTAGTAGGGGTCTTAGTATAAATAAATCAGCTATAATTTATTATATCTTAAATAATAATTATTATAGTAATTATATTAGTAATAATTAGTATTAAGATTCTTTTATAAGAATTATTTCTTTTTAATTACCTTAAAGAATTCCGTGTATAATATAGTTATTATTAACTTAGGAATATTATACTAAAGCTAGAAGTCTAAAGTATTTTAAATATAATATATTTATAAAAATTTAGTATATATTTCTGTGTTATAAACTAGATATATTATTTTTTTTAATAAATATAAGTAGAGACTTCTGAGTGATATTATTTAATCTAAATTATATTAATTTTATTTAGTTTATAACAATTAAGGGGTTTAATTTAAAATATTTTTTTAATTTTAGAATTTATTTATTTATTAATATTATTAAATATAATAATTATTTTTTTAAGTCTAATAGCTTAAAAATAAATTATAATAAAATAAGGCCACGCAAGCAGGTCTGTATATTTATTTTAATAATATTTTTACTGTGATATTTAATAATATTAAGTAATTAATTAATAAATATATTAATATTACAATAAAATATTAGATTAATAAGATTACGAGCTCTCGCTTTATTAAGATTAGGCTAGAACTAACTAATTTTATTAGGTTTAACTAAGTTACTTAATAGACTAGAGGGTTCTTAAGATCTTTAAAGTTTAATAGTACTACTTTAATTATTAATATTATTATTAACTTCTCTTATATTACTATTATTATTATTATTATTATTCCTGGGTTAATAACCAGGCTCTATATAATATAAATAATAATATATATTACTAAAATCTTTTAATATATTTTCCTAATATAATTATATAATTTTCTAATTATTAAGTATCTAGCTTAATATAGCTTAAAAAGTTGCTATATTAAATAAAATAAAATTTTATATTTATCCTGCTAAAAATAATTCTATATTATTAAGTCTATAATAATAAGATCTAACAAACTCTTAACAAGGTAGTATAATATTATAAAGATTATTAATAGATGCTTTAGTTTAAATCAATAAAACTTTTAAAATAATTAATATATTATCAAAGATATTTTTTTTAATAAAGTAGCATACTTTCTTAATAAAATAATATATTATTTTAATAAAATAATGTAGGCTTAATAAATTAATGTAGGCTTAATAAATTAATTTAATAATTAATAAGCGTGTTTAAACAGATTAATAAAACTAGTTTAGATAATAGTAGGAGCGCCTTCTAGGGAATTAATATATAATTTACTAAAATATAAAATTACTTATTATTCTAGTTTAAAGGTAATATTAAGAATTAATTTTATTAATTAAGATTTTTTAAGATATTTATTATACTTATTATAATACTTAGAGTGTTCCTCCTCTGTAATCAGACTAATTTAATAATATATTAATTTATAACTAATATTTCGAGTTCAACAAGCTCAGTAAGGGTGTATATAATTAGCTTTTTAATATTTTAAGTAATATAATCAGATCTTGAAAATTAAAAGAGTTTAATAATAATTAAAATTAATAATTATAATTATTTTTTAAAAAAGTACTTTATTTAATAAAATCTTTTATAATATAGTAAATATTAGACTTATTAAGTAACTAGCTTAGAAAGAATAAATATATCTTTATTAATACTAGAAATAAATAGATATAAGTAATATATTAAATTCTTTTAATAAGTTTATTACTTAATAGCTTAACCTAGGGATAATCCGAATACTTATAATATTAATTTAATTAATAACTAAATTTATTAATATTAATCCTTAATAAAATGGCTAAATATTAAAGTAGTAAAATATTAAAATAATAAAATAATATTTAAAATATTAAAATAACAAAAAAATAAAATAATAAAATAATAAAATAATAAAGTGCCTTAATAAGCAAGAATAAGATAATTAATTATTATAAAATAAGTAAAATAATTTTAAAAGGTTTTAAGATACAGGCAAGGATTAATATAATTATTAAAAAAAATAATTATAATCTAATATAATAAAATTATAAAGGATTAAGATAAAAATAATAAGAAATTGCTATTTTAAATTAATAATTAATAAAATTTAATAATAAATAATATTAAATTAAGGGCGGGAGTAATTTATTAAAATAAAAATCTAGTTAAATAATTAAAAAAAAGTAATTAGATAAATTAAATTAATAATATAAATAAAAATAATAATTAAAATACTTAGAGAATAAACCTGTTACTTATATAAAGTTCTATAGAAATTATAAAAAAAATATACTACTAAATATAATATTAAACACACGAAATAGACTTATTAAAATAATTATTTATTAATATATTAAGGTTAATGATGAGTCTTAAGATTAATAAGGTTAAATACTAAAAAAGCAGAATAACAGTAGTACGGAGGAGCGACTATGTTGGTTGATACAGGAAGGTAAACAGACCATCAATGCAACTAGTGCGGCAACAAGTATTATATATCCTGTTTTCTAATATTACCTCTTAGGAGCCCCTTTTTTTTTATAATTTGTGGTAGCCTACTACTGGATCGATGAAGATGGTAAGATTGTTTTATTTCACTAAGTGCGATCCGCCGCAGAGATGGGGTGCGGAATGCTACAGTATATAATATATAATACATATTATATATATTATTATAGCTACTATAAATACTAGTAATATATAATATTATAATATAATATCCTTATTAAATAAGACAAATCTTTCTAGATAAAAAATAATAATATTAAAAAATTAAAAAATTAGTTTTTATAAGATTTATTAGCTCAAAAATACTAGAATCCCTAGATAATACTAAAGAAAGATATAAAAAAATTATCCTTATTAAAAAGATAAAAAAAGAATAATAAAATTAAATAAAATTAAATAAGTAAGAAGAAACTAATATATATATAATATTAATCTGGGTAAAAAAAAAAGGAATAAACTAGAATAATAAACTAAAATAACCTAAAATAAAAAAAATAAAAAAAATCTAAAAAAATATCTTAATAATTATTATTACTTATTTATTTTTATTTTATATAATCTTTCTTAGTATTTTATTAAGGTTATAATATTCGGGGTTATAATATTTAGTTTTATAAATAATAATAATTTTAATAAAATCATAATAGATTCAGGTAAAGTTATAGTAGATTTAATAATATTTATAATAATAAAAAAATTTAATTTATTTATTTATATATTATTATTTTTATAAAAATATATATTATCCTTCTTCTTTAAAATCTTAATTTAAATAGTAGTAGCCAGGTTTTCCGCATATAGAATAATAATATACTTTATTAAAATATTTTTATTTTTATATAAATATTTAATCTTCTTAATAATATTATCCTTTATTTTAGTTAATATATTAATCTATTTGTCAGATGGGGTAGGTAGGTCACGTGGGTTGAATAGAAATTTCAAATGGCTAGATAGAATAAGGAAAATCGATCAGTCAGATGAAGTAAACAGTTCACCTGGACCACCTAGATCTGATGATAGACCAGAGGTCCTACCATTCGCTATGCATGTAGATTGGTGAAATTGATTAAATAAATGAATAAAATTTAATTAAATAAATTAAGTGGATAAATCAACTTAATAAAAAAAATAAATTAATACAGGTCATTAACTGCATATTTATAGATAATTAAATCAGGGCTAATTTAATCTAGCCCTAAGTAAATATTATAAATATAAAATTATTAGATCCTTCTAGGCCTTCACTTATGAGTTATATTATTAATCTAGGCCTTTAAAATCAGCCTTATAGATTATTATTAGATTAATATTTAATTATTTAAATAATTAAATAATCAAGATTTTATAATCAGAATAATTAAAACAATTAAGATTTAATATATAAATTATAATAAAATTATTTAAATAATATCAGAATAACCAGGATAGTAATATTTACTTTATAACTTATAAAATAAATAAGTAAGACATTCTGGATCCTTTATATTAATTATCTAAACAAAGCCATTAATCATAGTGGTTAAAATAAACTTTTAATTTCTTAAATAGGAAATTTATTAACTTATGTTTTCTAATTTTTATAAGATTTTAGCGACTGGTGATTTCCCAAAAAGGAAGGTAAGCTAGTCTAAAATAAGAAATTTTTTAGAAATTTTTTTTTTATTTTCTGTTTATATTAAGCTCAGTTTCACCTCACTTTTCCCATACAATTTGGTGGTGGAAGTGAGAATTTAATAAAATGAAAGTAAAGTTGTAGTAAATTTTAAATAATTTTAGTTATAGGGCTAAATTAGATAATTCTAATAAATTAGATAATATCAGGTGACCTTATTTAACACACCCCTTCAGTTTTAAATTAATAAAAGTATTTGATTAAAACTGCAAATGTTAAATAATTAATTATTATTTAATAAGATATTAAATCTTAACTATATTTAGTTATTTAGTAAATTTTGTATATTCCTGCTTAGTCAGGCGTTTAGTAAGACCGTCTGTAATTATTTAATTAATAGGGACCTATTTTAATTTAATGGATTTCTTCTTGATTTCTTGCCTGATCCAGTAATTACTAATATCTATATATTTTAATTTAGTTTTATAAATTAAATTAGGCTTAGTAAGCAGGTTAATTATTTATTAATTATTATAATAAATATATAATTTTTCTTCAGGGTTAAACCCTATAATAGTGAATAAGTATTTCCACTATAAAAAATACTTACTAGCTATAATTAGGGCTAATAATTCTGCTTCAGTTATAAATAGGGTAATTATTTTTTACTTTCTAGCTGACTAATTAATAGGTCCGCTGAATAAGTAATATATAAAGTTTTTAGATAACTTTCTTTGTAATAAGTTTGCATAGGCTGTATTACTAGCCATTTTAAAAATAAGTAGTGATTTTAATTAATCTATTAAATTAAGACTATATTAAATTAAATTGAATCAGGTTCTATAGATAAATAAAATTAGATAATTTACTGTATTTATATAATTTAAATAAAATTTAGCTACATATTCTGCAAGGATTTCGCAACTTTTTATAATATCTGGCCTAGAAATAACTGCAGGATATAAAACTAAGCTAATTTTCTTTTAATAATCCATGTGATAAGGCTTAGTAAGCGGCTGCCCTATAGATTTGCTTAAATTACCAGATAATAAAAGTATTTTAGATAAATTCTGATTAGCTAATTTAAAGCGGTAAGTAACTTTTTTAATATAATCCGCTTGATTAAGCCAAATTATTCGATTCTGCTGGTTTTAAATAACCTTTATATTTAGGAATTAGTAAATTTTACCTAAATCCTTTAGATTATATATCGAAAATAATTAATCTTTTAATTCGTTAATTTTCGATTAATGATTTTAATTATATAATAAAATAATATTGTCTATATAAATCATTAAAATTATATAATTATTTATAAATAGGCAGGGATCTTCAGGCACTAATTTTAGGCCTAATTTTTGCAGAGTATTCTCTATTTCTTGTTACTATAGTAATAGGGATCAGCATAGTCTATATAAAGCTTGTTTTAGCTTAAAAACCTTATTTCGTTGACTGAATCCGGGAGGCGGTAAAATATGAATTAATTTATCTAATTCACTGTTTAAAAATATATTTACTATATCCTATTAAGCTATTTCAAGGTCAAAAGCAATAATTAGGGCTATAATAATCCTAAATATTCGCGTGGCTAGAGTAATGGCCCTAGAATCAAGATTATTAATTAGTTAAAGATCTCTATAAACATATATTCTTGCTTTAAATTTTAATAATTAATCTTAATTAGTAAATTTATATTTTTATATCTATTTTAATAATAGGGTCTTTTAAATTAAATTATCTATTTTAGGAATAGCTTCCCAGGTGTTTATTTTAATTAATTAATTATATTTAATTTTACATGTATTTAGCTATTTATCATGAAAGGGCGAATTCATTATTTTATTCCAATTAGTTAGCTTAATAGGCAAATTATTTTGATGTAATTTATTATTGCTAATTTAAGCTAATACAAAGTTTCGAGGTAATTTTAAAGGTCCTAGGTCAGGTAATTCTGACCTATTTTTTTTTAGGGATAGTAGTTTATGAAAATTATTATAATTATTAAAATTGAATAGTGAATTATCAATAATGACTTCGGGTGATTAAGAATACAGGATAGAAGGTTAATCTCCTAAAATTTTATCATTTTGAGTATTTAATTAAATTAGATTATGTCAAATGGGGTCACCTGACATCACCTGATTCATCAGAATCACCTGATTTAGCCCCATAACCAAAATTATTCAAAATTCACTACAACTTTACTTTCACTTTATTGAACTCTCACTTCCACTACCAAATTATATGGGAAAAGTGAGGTGAAACTAAGCTCAATATAAGCAGAAAATGAAAAAAAAATTTTCTGAAGAATTTTCTTATTTTAGACTAGTTTACCTTCCTCTTTAGGAAATCACCGGTCGCTAGAATCCTATAGAAATCAGAAAATATAAGTCGATGAATTTCCTATTTAGGAAATTAAAAGTTTATTTTAACCACTGCGATTAATAGCTTTATTTAGATGATCAATACAAAGGGTCCAGAATATCTCGCCTATTCAATTTATAAGCTATAAAGTAAATATTACTACCCTGGTTATTCTGATATTATTTAAATAATTTCATTATAATTTATATATTAAATCTCGATTATTCTGATTATTCTAATCATAAAATCTTAATCATTTAATCATTTAAATAATTAAATATTAATCTAATAATAATCTATAAGGTTAATCTTAAAAGCCTAGATTAATAATATAACTCACAATTAAAGGCCTAAAAGGATCTGATAATTTTATATTTATAATATTTACTTAGGGCTAGATTAAATTAGCCCTGATTTAATTATTTATAAATATATAGTTAATAATCTGCATTAATTTATTCTTTTTATTAAGTTAATTTACCCACTTAATTTATTTAATTAAATTTTATTTATTTATTTAATCAATTTTACCTATCTACATACATAGCAAATGGTAGGACCTCTGGTCTATTTATTTCAGATCTAGGTGGTCTAGATGAACTGTTTACTTTATCTAACTAATTAATTTTTTTTATTCTATTAAGCCATTTAAAATTTCTATTCAACCCACGTGACCTACCTACCCTATCTGACAGTTATAAGCCCGGTCTAGCCCTTTGTTCCTACTATTTATACATACACGTGAATTAATTATTTATCTGTCTAATTAAATTCACATACATTTAATCAAATTCACACCTACACCTGAATTAATTATTTATTTGTTTAATTAAATTCAACCCATATATAAATTAATTATTTGATTACTTACTACTGCAGTGAACTATTTACTATTTATATTAATTTAATTTATTTAACCTGTGTACTCACTTCAAGTGTTTTATTTTACCTGTCTTAAAGTGTTTAATTAATTTAAACTATTTTATTAATTTATTAATTAAATTCATATATACACGAATTAATTAATTACCTGTCTATTCACTATTACAGTAAATTACTTACCTGTCTAATTCAATTGACCCCTACTTACCTAGTTTACTTTTACTTTATTAAACTTTCACTTTTATTATTGATTTATACAGTAAAAGTAAGGTGAAAGTAAAGTAAAATAAAGGTCAAGTGATTTAAATCATTTTATAAATCATTTAAGTTTATTAATATAAATATAAAGCTTAATTTTTAATTAAACCAGTTATATAATTAGATTTACTAGTTTAATATAATTAAAACAATTACTAAAAGCAAACATATTTAGGAATTTATTAATCCTAGTTATATAATTATACTTAATTAACCTGTACGGCCTAGTCACCCGGAGTTATATAATCTTAATAGGAATATTAGATCAATTATTAATCTAACCTAAAATAATTAAGTACTTTATTAAGACCTTTTACACGATTATAAATTAGTGCTTCGAGAATACCGCCATATAGATAAGGGCTTAGCCTTAATTCTATTACTAATTAAGAACTTGATATTATTAACCAATAGGGTTTTAGTATCTGATAAAGAAACCCCATATCACGTGCTGCAGATCCTTCAAACAAAACTAGCTCCCACTAATAAATTAAGAAAACGCGATATTATTAAGTAATATTATATACTTAAAAATCTGCAGAATAAATATTTAATTAATTTATATATTTTACTATGGGAAAACATCTATACTAAAGCGAAATTGCTTGAAATAAACAAAATAAATAATCCACACTAAGTTTAATATAACTTTATTAAAACCATTTATGGGTCTTATTTAATATTTGTAAATTATTAGAGTAAAAAATTAAATAATAAAATTAAATCATATAATAAAATACTATTATTTTTTAATATAACTAAGTGATTCAGAGATCATATAAAGATATTTCTAATATTTAAATATTTAAACTAACCAAGCCGAATCGCTCAGGCAATCTTTAAAAAAGACACCTTAGAAAATATCCTAAGTCCTAGGTTTAATCCTAGAATTCTTAAAAAGGAATAAAACTGCCCCTGTTAATCAGACTTTAATAAAGGTTACTATAAATTTAACTAATGTTTTTATATTAATAATTTATTAAAGAAACCAGAAAATTAGTTATGTAATCCTAAGGCTATTTAATAATTTAATAAAGTCTTTAAGAACCCCAAATTTTGTGTAGTACTTAAAGCTGTAAAAAATCGCTTAAAATTAACAAATTAAGTAATAAATTAAAATAATAAATTTTTAATTAATTTAATTATAATAGCTTCAACTTTAATAAAACAAAAAAAATATATTAGTCCTAATTAAGCATTTGACACTACTGCAGATACTTATATTTATAATAATTAATTATTATTTAGTAATTTTTATAAATTACCTATATTAATCTCTATAAAGAATACATAGATATTAATTAAAGATTTTAAAATAATTAATTTAAAACCTTCAAATCCCTATAAAGATAAAACATCATTTAAATTATATTATTACGCCTATATTCTATAATTTTATATTAATATTCTATCTGTCTTAAAGGCAAGGTAATCAGGTATTTACCTTAATTCTAGGGCTATATACCTAGAAAGCCCTAATTACTGCCTAATTTATAAAGTCCTCGAGATTACAGGTATTTATTTAATCAAATAAAATACTATTAATTAAATTTAATAATCACCTGAATTAACTTCTAAAAATAATCATATTTACTATCTAAATTTATTACAGAATTTATTATTAAATACTAAAATAAATAAATTAGAGGCCTATTTAGCAAGAAATTCAAATAAACCAGTTATTTTCTATAGAATAGCTAAACTATAATATTCAAGATTAAGACACCCGAGCTCTGAAGCCCTAAAACACCTTAATTTAGTAGTTAATACAGTAAAAATTAATAATAAATTAATTAAAACTAAAAATTATTACTTAATTTATTAATTATTAATTTTAAAATATTAAATTTCTTAAATTCTGATTTAATTAGGAATTAAACCATTTAAAACCATTTATTAGGACCTTATTTATTTAAATTAGGGAATCTACTAAAAACAATATATTAGCTATATATACTGTCTTTATTTAAAATTTTATATAGCTAAGATAATTTTATTAAAAGATTATGTAAGTAATTTAATTATTAAAATAATTTAATTTATTAAATATTAATATTACGTAACTATTAAATGATTTTATTTAGATTAAGATAGAAATCTAGCTTATTTTTATAATTACGCGAGATCTGAAAGGGTAATCTATAGTACTAGCCTGATTAAATAATCTGAGCAGAATCTATTTATAGAATATTTAGGTACTTTAATCACATAAAAAATACAGATTCTATTTATTAATTCAGGATTACCGCTATATTTATAGCCAGAATCATTAAATATAGTAATATATATTTTAAATCGCACCCTTACTTATTTACTAAAGTGGAGTACTCCGCATAAAACCTTATTTAAATATTTTAATTAATCTTTATTATATATAATACTACTGCTAAACCTCTCTAATCTAAAATAATATAGTTACTGAGCCTATATAAGGATTTTAAATATTCCTAGGCTTAGTAAGCTCAAACCGAGAGCTCTA